TTGGCCATGGCGCCCGGCTGGCTGACGATGGTGCGGATGAGGCTGCTGTAGTCGCGGGGCCCATCGCTGCCCAGGGACAGGTCGCTGCCCGCGCTGCCCGCGCTGCCCGCGATGGCGGCGGGCTGGGGGATGCCCGCCTTGGCGCTCAGCGAGCCCAGCAGGTTGCTGTCGACGGAGAAATTCTTCGCCTCCTCCGCCACCGAGCATCTCCGGTGAGGCATGGGGTCGCTGAGGGAGCGGTAGGGCTCGGTGCCACCCTCGCTGCCGCCCTCCATCCCATTGGCGCCCGCCGACGGGAACTTACGTCGGCGCCGCAGGCTGCCAGGGGTGCTCGGCGTCTCGGGTTTGCCAGCTGGAAAGTCTTCAACCACCGTTGCCGTCGGGTGAGCGGGCAGCGGCATTTCGGAGTCACCAGCTGCCGGCCCCGCGCTGGGCAGCATCCAGGAGTCCACAGCTTTGTGCAGGCCTTGGAAGGGCATCCCCACGGGCTCTGGCTCCGTGACGATGCCCTCGTCCGTCACGCTCGACTCGTGACCCGACAGCTCCTCCACGGATTTACTGTGAACGAGGTTCTCCTCCAACTCCACGTCCTTCAAACACCGCGTGCTCTGCACCTGTCCCCGAAGGGTTGCACCCGTCGTCCCCGTCGGTGCCACCGCCTCAGCACCCTCCACACCTCCGCTGTCCTTCTGTTCGGCGGCAAAGCCGTAGTCATGCTGGGAACCCATCCTGCTGATCTTCTCAAACACCTGCCTCGCCTCCTGGATGTACTGGTCCTGGATGACCATGGGGAGAGGATCCTCGTCCGCCTGCTGCCCCCCATCCGGAGCCACCCGGTCCTGACTGTCCGTAGAGGCCAGAAGGAGCTCGGAGGAGCTCTGCTTCATGGTGCTCTGTAGGAAAAGCCGCCGAGTCCCGGATTTTTCGGAGCAGGTGAAGGACTTAGCGCGACGTAAAGTGGCCGTAAGGTCCTTGAGCGTTGGCCGCTCGCCCGGCGCCCAGCGGTTTTGGGGATGAGTGGCACCGCAGCTGCCTGGGGAGGGGCCGGCAATGCTGGAGCATCTGTCAGGGCCCACGTCAAGGCCGATCCTCACCCCTTTCTTCTTCACCTTCAGCTCTGAGAGGTCTGATTTGAGGAAGCTGAGGAGAGTCAGGGTCTCGGTGGCGATGTCGGGGTTGGACAAGGACTTGCGGTGCTTGGCCCGCTCCCCTTCCAGCCCTGGCTGGCGCAGGCTCTCGCTCCCGTAGTCCGCTTTTGCCTTGGCCACGCTCTGGGGCAGCTTGGGGCGGACGCGGACCCCCGGCTGTCCCCAGGCCAGGCCATCGCCGGCCCCGAAACTGGGCGATCGATAGATGCCATAACCCGCCTGGAGAGTCCGTCCTTGGCCGGGCCAGCAGACTCCGAACTGCTCCTCTTCCTTCAGCGTCTCCGTGCTGGAATACCGACTGCTGCCGCGTGACCCGCCGGGGCTGCCGAAGGGCAGGATGTTCACCTTGGAGACCCGGGCCACCGTGGGCAGCGGGTGCCGGGGGACCACCCTAGCGCAGCCTTCGGCCCCGGCATCGCCGTCCGCCGTGCCCTCCTCCTTCTTCTTCTTCCGTGCGGCGCGGGGCCGGTGGGCAGCGCTCTGCCCTTCGCCTTCGCTGCCCGACGAAGCGCGGGGAGAACGGGCCGCCGCGGCTTCATCGTCCCCGTTGGAGCGGGGTGATGGGGAGGAGGAGGGTGGTTGCGGTCGAGTCGAGTTATGCCAGGAATGCGGGCCGGGCTCCGGCGGAGCTCCGCGGGGAGAGCGGAGCGCCGGGTGCGGGACCCGGCTGCGGGGCGGAGGCGGCGGGGGAGCTCCGCGGGCGCTCCCGCTCCCGCTCCCGTTCCCCATCCCATTCCCGGTCGCCGCCGTCGGCTGCCGGCAGCTTTCCCCGAAGAGTTTCCGCATCGCCGGGACGCTGGGCCAGCGCGGCGGCTCCGCGTTTAACCCCGGGCCCGGCGGCGACGGCGGCGGCGGCGGGGGCGGCGGTGGAGCCGGGGACGGCGGCTGAGCCCCGGCATGAACCGGGCCCGTCGGCTCCGGCTCGGTAAAACGAAGCGAAAGCTGCCGTACCGACGGGGCCAGGCTGCCAAAAGCCCGGCCCGGTTGTTGCTCCGCGATCGGCGCTGAAACTTTCCTACCCGGGAAGAAGAAGGAGGAGGAGGAGGAGGAGGGCGGGGAGGAGGCGGGCAGGAGGC